TGTATTGATTGTCTTTTAATCTTCATATTAACACACAGTAAATTAATGAAAATATCCAAATGAAGAAGAGAAGATAATTGGTTTTCCTCTGAGTGGGTGGCTTGTTGAATTGACAGGTCATGATTCTGTAAGGTCTCCTTTTTACAGTTTCAAGTGAAGCAGTGGCTCATGGAATAATCTACACTTTGTCACATTGTCTTGTTTATTAGATGGCAAGAACTGTCACACCATGGCTTATTTTTATACACCTACAGTATACAGAACAAAATTATAAATGTAAAACTTTTGTTTTTGCCCCTATTCGTCATGAGCTGAACTGAAAGATCTAAGACTGTCTCTATGTACACAAATGGCATATTTCTCTCAAATATTGTTCATTTGAGTGGCCTTTTATTGTGGCCAGCCTAAGGCACACCTGTGCAATACCCATGCTGTCTGATGAGGATCTTGATATGCCACACCTGTGAGGTGGATGAATTATCTCAGCAAAGGAGAAGTGCTCACTAACACAGATTTTGACTGATCTGTGAACAATATTTGAGAGAAATGGGCCTTTTGTGTACATAGAGAAAGTCTTAGATCTTTGAGTTCAGCTCATGATGAATGGAGGCAAAAACAAAAGTGTGTGAATGCACAATAGAACAATTTAAACTAAAAGATATTATAAATACGGAAACATGAAATCCAAAACATGTCTGACAGGGTTTGATAGTAGATATTACAGCATAGAATAAATAGTTTAAAACATCAGTTGAGTAGGCTTATGGTCCAGGATGAAGGCCCCTGGGATTTGGTATGGCTGAGTACATTTCACTGCAATGCCGTGTTTATACAAGTGTAAACACACTTGGTGGATAGTTGCTGTGCAGTAACAGCTGTTTACCCCCAACAGAGGTGGACAAAGCGTTACATAAACTCTAGTTTGAAACACAGTGAACAGGAGTTCCATGACAAGAGGCACATTTATTAATCTTTTATTCACTTTCTGGTTGTGTGACATTTTCATTCCATAGTTGTAAAATTTGACTGCCTGGAAACACTGGTGGGTTGATGGCAGGTGTATCTCTTGTCCTTGACTGACTGCAATGTAACATCTGGAGTTTGCATTTGTTTCGAGTAGGGCTGCAGCTAATGATGATTTTAGAACTCAAAGCTTCTACAGATTATTTCATCGATGCATCGTTTAAGAAGTGCTTTTGCTTTTGATCAGCTGTGTAAGTTAACTCATGAATGTGATGTTACAACCCAAACTCATGGCCCAACCATGGGGAATATCAAACGCACGTTACAGCTGAGGATTGTGGCTTACTTTTGATGGCATTCAACTCATCAATCAATCATGGTTTCAGTTAAATGCTAAAGTTGCTGTTGCTGTTACCTTGTCTGCTTTGTGGACTTGATAGACCGGCTGCTTTCTGATCAGGTGCCGTCGTTCTGTTGCGGTAGGCGACATACGTTTTGTTTTAGGGTGGACAGACTTTAACATCACATGTTGTTGTTTTCTTTAGCTTGAAATAATCCCATACTTTGGACACTTCTTCGTCCCTCGCTATTTTCTCTCTCTTCCTCCACTTTGCAAACAGCGGCATCATATTCACGTTGTGTTCACACAGCGTAAGCGCGATGTGCGACCGTAATAAATGTCCATGCGAAACAGTGTGCTATATGGATATATGGATTAAACAAAGCATCGATGCAAATAATTTGCGTTGCTGCTTTTTAGTAATTGAATTAATCGATTTAATCGATGAATCGTTTGTTAATACCTATGCTTTGGAGTTGTAATTTTAACACTTAAGAAATATTTTTTGTAGACTAACTGCTAAAGAGATCTGTGCTGCACACCACTCCACATGGTAGCTCTGCTTTAATCTTGAGAAGCTGCAGAGCTGCAGTCTGTATTCTTTCAACTTACACTGTAAATTTACAACTAAACTGAGGCTTATTGTTGACCCTTTTCTCTCTGATCGCCTGTCATCAAGTTTTGCGTGCATACCGTGCTGCCGACAACTGCATACATGTCGCGGTTCCTCGCAGGTCTATTTCAAGTAGCCAGCTATTTAAAAATAATATAAGATTCTTTGTGTGGTTCATCAACGGTGAGAAATTACCCGAAAGTCCTGCGAGGTGCGGACAACTCGTCACAACGCCGCTGAAGCTGGGGCTCCGCTCCGTCTCTTCAGCAAGTGTTCCTCTTCTGCCACTACACACATACACGTTACGCCTACACGTGCGTACTGACTATCCAGGGTTAGGGTTACAATTTTTAATTTTTTCACGCACTTTTTACATGTTTATTTACAGCATTAAACGTTGAAATGTATATTGTAATAGGCTGCATATTAACTTATTCGGAGAAAACTGGTAGTTCTATGTAAAATCAGATGTTGAGCACCCCCATATCGCCAAAATGGCATGATCCTCGTTTCACTGCAAAGCTTCGACTGTTCGGGGTCAGCCCTAATACAGAAATGTCGACCTGAGAAGAGACGAATCAGCTAATGAACTCAAAAGACCTGCAAAGGTTTCCTGAGCTTTGCCTGAGCCATCTCTCAGTCTGGTTCTGGTGCTAATGCACTTTTCCACGATATTAAATTTTTTTAGATGCACCTGTACCTCTTAAAATTACTTGTTAGCATTTTCTGATATGCAATTTATTGTTAAGGTTGTGGTTAAGCTTAAAACAAACCAACATTGTTAGCTGAAAAATGGACGTGAATTGTAGTCTCTTGGCATAACACGATTTGTCACAGCCCACAGGCCACATTTTTTTCAATAATGTGAACTGTCAAGACAAAAAATCGGATCTGGGGACAAAAATCCGAATTGAGCATTAAGCCTTGCAGTCTGAACGTAGCTTTTGTGCTTGTGTAAAAATCTGTATCTTGCCAGATCAAATTAGGTGTCCAAAACCGGTTTTGAATTGAAACCAGTTCCAAACTTCGAAGAACAGAAACTTGCCTTTTGGTTTGGCTTATCAGTTCTTGAACCTGCTACACTACTTGCTAGTCAGGAAACCTGAAACAAAGAATTTGTACAAATAACCAACGTTATTTTGCTGAGAATGGTCTCAAAAGATCTTGAAATCCAAAATTAGGAAAGCTAGAAGTATCCAAGAAGCAGATACACTGACACTTACTTGCTCACTTCTTTTCTACTAATTCCATGGCCCACCTGCCTTGACCGCAATCCAAAAACAAGATACTTAAAACACATGGCTACATCACAAATAACTTAATACCTAGTCATTACCCACTAATAACCATCATTTAATAGTGCAGTTCTTGTTATCCCTCCTAAATGAGGCTTGATAAGAAATTTGTTAATTGACGGAAAACTGAAACTTGCAGCGGCCCATATGTTTTGCTGAATTATTATTCACTCTCCGTGACTGTGTGTGTTGCTTTAGCTACTGGATGGGGTAACCCCAGTCACTTGCCTCCTCAACACCTGTGTTTACTTTGGGGCCTCGGCGCCCATGACCCAGCAGCAATCCTTCACTCACTCAGAAGATGGAGTGAGGTTCCAGCCTCCAAATATGTGCTGTCCGTGCACTTTTACCACTGTGTGATTCCTCTAAGACTTTCATTATGGAGCACGGGCCAAACGACTAGTATAAATTACAATCCTTTTCCAAATTCTAGTAAATTTAAACATTCAGATCCTGTTCCCTTTCTCTGTAATGTTTAAGCTAGGCTAAGAGCAGAAATTGGCTTTGGCGTTTGTCTGTGCTTGTTGTGGCTTTTTTAAAGTGCTTTGGGAATGGAAAGTGGATTTGAGGAGCCATTAATGTAGAATATAACTGAACTTGTCTTCTCCTTTGATGGTAAAGCTGACAGAAATGGATTCAGTAATTTTGAATATTCTGTGAACAACATCTGTGAAGTATTGAACCTCAATACTTTTTTGGTGCAGAGCAAAAGTGTCCACAGCAGCAAGTATTGAAAACTGTCAGGTACTGAAACCTAAAATTGAATATCTGGTCAGATCATCATTGCCATTTTCATCTCCAGCATCGCCGTCATTGTCATCTCCAGCATGTACATGAGATGGTCACAAAATGCACCTGTATTGTTGAGAAAAGGGCTTGAATTACACCAGTGTTTCCGCAGATAAAATGAAAAAAAGTGAATATAAATTTTAATCTAGGTGATTCAGATTAGCTCACATAGTTCATCCTCAAGTTATGATTAAAAAACTTGAAAAGGAGAAAAAAGACTTGAACCGTAAATTCATTGATCATCGTTTCAGATTTCTGAAGTCAATAGAAACAGTTGTGTTCTACGTTTCTTCCACTGTACTGTAACTTTGATTTGAAGAATGGCCTTTTTACATTTTTACGGCCTTTCTCCTTCTGCATTCTTAACCACAACTGAGAGGTTACCAATGACCTGTTTACTGCCTTTAGGATGTTAACTCGGTGTGGATCTGATGAATGTTTTGCACAGTCAATTCTGGATGCAAGCCAAAGTTCAGCTGCTCGTACTGCAGTGTTAACTGTTCAAATATTAGTGCCAATGTTTTTTCAGGTGTGGATGCATTAGTGTGCGCCAATACCATGTTTCCATGGAAACAGGCCAGCCTAAGTGTAAAAAGCTGCCACAGTGTCATATAAAGTCATTAAACTCTGATATGATTTAATATTGCTCTGCATACTGGAAATAGCTCATTGGAGCTGTGACATTCTGACATTCTTCATGATTTGTGTCATTTTTTAGATTTCTAAAAACATTGACTTATCAACAATATTTATGATCATTTCTGTTAAAAATTAAAAAGTATTTGGGAGTGCCGTGGGAGCTTGGCAGTTTGGTGAAGTGTTGTGTACTGACACACTAGATGCTGTCTTGAGTCTACATCATGACTTGCATGTTATGCTCACTTTCTGTACTATATGTTAAAGGGTGAAAAGCTTCCTTAGAGACATTTTAAGGCTTCACTTGACTTTTTTTTCAGGTTAAGAGAAACATTTCAAACCGTTTGAGTGTTGTCTTTTCCAGGACACTGGCAAGTGCAGGAAAAGAACTCAAAGATTACTTCCTGAAAGCCCTGGCAGAGCGAGAGGAGGCCAACCGCAGTGGGAAAATGACTGTGAGTACATTATTACAGCACTCCAATTGCTACGTAATGGGATTCCCTTCAAATATTTCTGCAATTCCATTAGAATGGGAACAAAATCCATACCATGGGAGCCAGCTTCACGCTGCTTTTCCATCCATAAAATCATTTACAGTACCAAACTCCCAACTACCTTGTCCTAGGTGTGCCTTTCAGTTTGAACCACCAAGATAATTTCTAAAGCTGGAGTAGAAGCCTAAAGGGGTATTACCAATTCCTAGGAGCATTTATGACTCAATTTTCCCACTATTTCTCTGTATTTAAGCTTGCACAACAACAGTTTTGCCTTATTTTCAAAATTATTGATTGACTAAGTTCCTGATTTACTAGAATGAAAACACATTTCCTTTCATTCTTGAAGATGTAACTATAATGAAGAGAGCGCAATTTATAGTTTCTTCTTTCATTTCAGAAACGGTCAGTATGATGTCAATTTTTTCATCTGTCAGTGCAAAGATTTGGGCGGAGTGTATGGAAGACCTGTATATTTATCTCATCACCTGCAAGAGATGTAAGGGTCAGGTCTATTGTGAATCGAATGGCTGGCAAGAGTAAACTGATCCTTGGCTACAAAAAATTGTCTGTGAAGCATCAACTTTCGGGCTGAGGAGTTGTAAGTGTTTGTGTGGGTGGAGGACCAGCTATATGTGGTAGTAGGGCTTACGTCTTTGCACAGAAATGCCAAGCGTGGGAGGTGCCAAGTAGATGTCTGGCTGAGTATATTGAGATAAGCACTCTTTTGCCCATCTCTCTGGCAGAGATCACGGAGGTAGTCTAAAAGCTTTGAAGTGGTAAGGTGGCAGGGATGTATAAGATTTACCCTGAAATGCTGAATGCTCTGGATATTTAGTATTTTTTGGCACATCTCTTTAATGTTGCCTGTGGGACAATGCTGGGAGGTGGAGGTGTACCCTTTTATTCTACATTTGCTTTCTTGAATAAGAGTCAGTCTGTGACCTCCAGCACACATGATGGTGATGGTGGAGCTTTGCCTTTGGGCTCAACTCTTACTTTACCAGTCTTTTATCTGTTATCTCTATCTCCAACTCTAAACTATGGTTACGACAGAAACCGTCAGATTATGAATCTAGAAGCGGCCAAAATCATAGAGAGAGGAGCTCAGACATCTGGTGGGACCATGGATTAGAAGGGTTGCTCCTTAATTTGAGGTGGTTTGGGCATCTGCTCAAGATGTTCTGGACATGTCCAACTTGCGTATACATCTGCACCTGTCTGAAGTTAAGCTTAGATCTTAGAGCTTAAATCACGGACAAAGCCTGCATGCTTAATTAAACATAGATGCACCAGGGAGAGATTTTAACCTCTGACCACGAAGCTGACTATTTTCACTACAAACATTACTTTAAACACAATTCTCCGTCTCTACTTACTGTATATGATGAATGGAATGTGTACCATTTGAGAGATTATACTCAGCACAGTTTATCGTTCTTCAGGGAGTGTTAGTGTTGATAGACTTCAAATGATTCACATACGAGATGCTGGAGTACAAAAAGGGAGTTTAGTTTGACCTCCATTTACCTGCCCCTGTGGGCTTTGCAATTATGAGATCACATGAATAGCATTGAGGGGAGTAGAGGTTTTAACACCAGAAGTTTTCCCACTGGATGTTCACTGTGTAAACACTACCATGCAAAGTCCCCGCTCTTTCTTTCAGCCCTTCATAACTTAAGCCATTTGAGAGATGTAACTACCGCCTTTTCCTTTCAAAGAAACCCCCAGTGAAAAATTAAGTGATTTAAAATATTTCCTCCTGTATACAGAAAAGAGAGCCAGAATCAAAACAAGCACAATATCATGTTGTGTATTACCAACATTCTTTTGCTGACATTACATTTTCCCACCTCTTCTTATATTTCATCTCTTAAGAGCTTCCTTTGCTGAAAAACTGGATCGGGAAGATGTTTATTTTCCTTTGAGCCGCACTCTGTTTAAAATTAAACCCACATTTGTGCGCTTAATACCTCTTCTCTTTGAAACTGTTTAAGTAACAGGTAATCTTTATACAGCTTGACAAGGCTTGACCTCATTGGTATATTTGCATTACACAGATGTATTCCAGATAGCAATTGCACATGTGGACATCCAGTAAAACATGTGTTGTACCTTGTTTGATACACGTGTCCTGTATGTAAATTTCTTTAATATATTTTTAATTTGCTGGTATGCATTGATCCATGTTATATGTATATTTTACACGTGCTGTATTTTCTTTTTACTAACGTCTTCTAAAAAAATTACGACAAAAAAGGGCAAATTTGCTCTCTAAAATCCTCTCTATATGTAAGTGTCAAATTTACCTACGTTAATCTTTGATAAGGTACAATAATAAGACCACCCAGCATCATAAGGTGTCTTTCACACTGTTCAGCATGGGCTGTCTAGGCGCCTTTTGAAACACAAGAGGCAAGCTCCTATCTGCCACGCTACTCAAACCTACTAACACATTCCAGGTCGTCAAATGTGCACATTTTTACTGCACTCTAATGCAAAGCAGTTCTTGTCCTACATGTGTTTTTCACTTTTTCTCATTATTTCTTTCATGTCTTCACATTATTTTTATTTTAGGCATTAAAGTCTATACTCTATAGTAGATTTTTTAACAGACACCAACCACACATTTATGAATATAAAATATAATATTCCTTCACAAGTAGTTTATTGACTTTAAAATCTGAATCAAACACATATTGCCTAATTTGTTTCATTTAACTTTACATTTTTTCTGTCTTTATTGTAAACTAAACCAGTGTTTACTGACAATTATCTCAAGTAACACTTACTTATTTATCATAAAGGTCCTCATCATTGTTGTGAAGGTCTGTTAGGACACAGAAAATCATCCATTTTAGGCGCACAATGGAGGAGGGAAAGAAAATGCTTAAAGCTGAGTTATTGGCTTTCCTTTAAATGGATGACATATTCATTGTCATCTTCCTTCTCATTCATCAGAGGGGTCACTTTTTTGTCCTTTCATGTCATGCTCAGCCTTTTAAGTCAGGTTAAAATTACACCTATCAGTTAATACACTTTAGGTTATTCTGTCTTTTTGGTCCTGCCCCAAATGGCATTACAAAAGATTGATAGCAGCCATGACTCTTGATGAACGGAGCTTGTCTTCCCTTTGTGAGTGGCCCCTGCCCCCCTCCTGTTTCCCTCTCTTTGGGACAGAGTCAAACGATTTGGGATTTGAAGCCTACTTTGCATTCAAAATAGGGATTTTGATACTTTTTTTACCTCTTCTTTTCTCATAAGCACTAAGGTTTTGTTCTGTAGAAGGAGCCCTCCACTATCTTTCTTATCAGCTGAACTTGCAAAGCTTTCAGTGTCTTGCCTTCACTGTGATTTTACTTCACTGGCCGTGTTGTAAAAGCTGCTTCACTGCCAAAAGTCACACACAAACAAAAGCTGCACCTGGGCAGCTTTGGCTTTATTTGCATTGGGTAAGAAGTAAAGTTTTTTATCAAATCCAGGTCACACCTGCACAGGGTGCCTGAGGGTGTCCATTGTTGGGAGGTTCAGATCTGAAACTTAAGGTGCGCTGTTACCACCCACTCTGATACCTGTTTGTTTTCAGTTGTTTGTTGAGAGGTTGTGATGGTATCAATGGGAAATTGCAACATATCAAAGTGATGAAAAGGCAGAGTTAAAAGCAGTTATATGCGAGGCAGTGAGCCTTATATCACAATACATATAGTGACAATTTATCATGGGAATAAATTTTTCTTCAAGTAAGAAAATAGTGGAAATGTTCAGAAACTTCCAATATTAATTCAACGGATTGGATTAAAACTTGTCTGAAATAAGTTCTTCATGCATCAAACATATGTCATTTTAAAGCTGTGTCTGGCAGTGTCCAAGAAGTTTAATAAAATGTTATATTGCCCTGGCATGTCAACCAAAAATACTGCCCAAGATGAAATTTTTTTTCTTTAAATTATGTGTCATATCAACCAAACCCAATCCATTTAACAAATTTAATGAATTATATTAGGCCTATAGTATGAAATGGAATCATTTACTCATCAGTGAATACTTGGATAAGCTATGCGTGGTGCATTACATGATACACATGATGATTGATTGGGATAATCAGTGATAATGTATTTCAGCTTCATCAAATGTTGTTGAATGATTGCATGATAAATAGCAAAATGTACCCTGAAAGTAAATATTCACTGCCCTTAAGAAGCAAATAAATATGTTTCCTTTTTATTGGTAAAGCCATCACTCATTCAGTAACAAGAGGGAACTTCATTAAAACAATGCCCCTGGCAAAGTGCCCTGCCATAAAGAGTGAATGAGTATCTTTGCTCTCAGCTCATTCCCAAGCAGCAGGGCAATCGCAAAGGTTAGTTTGGTGTGTCAGTAGGAGAAAAAACCCAAGAGGAGTCGCATTCAACCCGTCAAACGTGAACAAGAAAAAAATATAAATTTATAAAAAAAAAAAAAAAAGATCACTTCTATTATTTGAGTTCTGTGCTGTTTTGTCAGGGTTTCAATTCAGTTTAATTTTATGTATAAAGCACCAATTCATAACAGAAGTTATCACATTGCACTTTTCATATAGAGCAAGTGTAGACCGTACTTTTAAATAATGTAATAGTATTTTCAGAGACCCAACAAGTCCCACCATGAAGTAGTACTTGGCGACAGTGGCAAGGAAAGGGGTAGAGGTAGACACCTCAAGCAGAACCTAGACTCATGGGCGGCCAACTGCCTCGACCGGTTGGGTTGAGAAATCCATTGCTGTCAATAGTTTCAGAATAATATATACAGTGAGTTTAAAATCTCCATGACATCAGATCTGCTACAGAAAATGCCAGGGGCTGTTTGTTCATCTAAATCTGAAAAATTCTTTTCCTTCAAATTACAGGACTACATAGCAGTTGTTTTCTAGAGGGCTGTAAGTGATATATAGCTGTTGTGTAGCATTAGGTTGTGAAATTTAT